TATATATATATATATATATGTGTGTGTGTGTGTGTGTGTTTCATGACAATGAGCATGGTACTTTATTTATAACTCATTTGTCAATTAAGATTTATTTGTGATTATATTATATATTTGATAGTTGATAGATCAATTCAACTCAACTCGCAACTCATCACAAGTTGAATTAAGATTTTCAACTCAATGAAAAATAAATCCAACCTAATCCAACTTGTTTTTCTTAGGATAAAGATAAGTTGAGTTGAATTGAAATAACAAAATTGATTATTATAAAATACATTAAAATAATTCTCATTTGTCATTGTAATATTTTCTATCAATAAAAAAATCACAATGGTCATTTAATTAAAACATTTTAATTTTTGAAATTATACAAACTGAAAACCGAAAACATTAAAATAAAGAGCCTTTTGAAAGTCTTGAATTTAAATTTAAATTCAAAATACTCTAAAAAAAATGTATTAAATCACATTTTAAAAAACCTATGAGACCTATTATTACATGCAAAGGAGAGGGACAAATCATCAGACTTACTTACACTTCAACAGGCCCACAAGACTCAACCTCATGCGCATGAGTCCTCGTGCCTTTGTTGGCCACTTTGAAAGCCTACAACACAAAATGATATATAAAAAAACAAAACAAGGTGTAGTTAAGCAATGTGAAACTCTTGCCTTTTGAAATACCCGTAAAATACTAGAGCCCGGTGATGTATATGATTCATAAATATGCATAAATAGTATGCACCATTTCATTGGTATCCATCTTTTGGTGAAATGAATTGGTTACAAGGTGAATGAAAATAAACTAAATTAGGAGTGAGCTAGGACGAGTCCTATTTCAATTATTGATATGCTTGATGATTTTTATCTGGTGACATTTTCTTTTGAAGAGGATAATAAGCACGCTTTATTTGAGGGTCCATATATGATAACTACTCATGGCCTGATTGTTCAAAGGCAGAGTCCAAACTTTTTAAGCAATGTTAAAAGTGTTAGACAGGTGGCGGTGTGGGTATGTATCCCACATTTACAAATTGAGTTATATAATGAAAAGTTTTTTGTGGCAAGTGAGTAGTGGATTAGCTCACGTCTATTCATTCTTGTGGAAGGTATGCAAGAGTATGAGTTGAGGCTTACCTGAACGCGAAATCGTCAATAGAAGTGCATGGATATGTTTTTTCTGCGAATATGAAGGATTGCCTTTAATTTGTTTCCACAGAGGAAAATACGGGCGTTAGACTCAGAGGTTTATGTTGTGGGGATGTCTAACGATATTGGTGGCCAAAAGGGTATTGTCATGCATGATTCAAGCCAAGCAATTGCAGTGTTATCTCCAAATCAAGAACAAACCAATAATGACCCAAGAGATAATAAAGAACAACAAAATTTTGAGCCATGGAGTATTGCAAAACGACCAAACAGAAAGAATCTTTGCAAAAACAAAATTTCAAAATGGTAGACGAGGGCCAATTAACGAAAATGGATATCGCCCATAATTCAAGTCACGCAATTGTGGAGTTATCTTTAAATAAAAAACAAACCAATAATGACATAGGAGATAAGGAAGAACCACAAAACGACTTGATATGAAGAATCTTTACAAACAAAATCACAAAACCGTTGTAGAACCAATTAATGAAAATGGAATTTCCATCCATGGATCACGATTTTTGGCTTTAGCTGCGGGGTCAGCGAAATTAAAATAGAATGAAATTGGTGAAAAGGCATAACATATACTAAAACTAGTAGTTAGTTTGTTTACTCGACCACAATGACAACAACAAAATAATAATTATTGCAAGCTTGTTAGTAATTTAAACATGTATGAAATGAAACATAATTAAATGTTTGATTTTCAGTTCGGAGAAAAAAAACGGATGTTCACTTCGAAACTTCCCCCCACATAATTCTTGGCTTTTTGACGAAAGTAGGGCTGCATGGAAAGTTATTTACGTAAATGGGGCTTGTGGATGTGCTGATAGTTGTAACTGTTTTCTATCATATTGCTATATATGTATATTGATTTCTTTACACTAGCTTACCCTTTGTTGTTTCCATGATGTTTGGACTGTGATGATCATACTATGTATGGGAGCAGATCAGGGATAGGTTGGTGGCTGATGGTGAGTCCGTAGCGGGCAGGCGGAGTTGATCCTTTAGATCTTTTGTTGTTTAGCTACCCAGCAGTGTAGCCTTTGATGTATTTTGTACACTTTA